TCATAGAAACTACACACACACAGCCCTGATAGTTCTGCTCTGCAGACTGCTTCTCCTGACCTTCCTTTTGTTACTGTCCCTTTTAAAAAAAAACATGTTTTAATGGAAATGATTTTCAAAAGAACATTGAACCCATAATGGAGAATCTACTTCAACAGCTGAGGTCTCCTTCCTCTAAAGAGAGAAAACAAAAGAGGGGGCAGACAACATCTGTGACATTACCACTGTGTGCTCTGAAGCACTCATTGCCATCTAGTGGCCTTAAGACACCCTGAATTAAAAATCAGTTCAAAGCAGCAGCGTCCGGCATCTTTACACACACACACACACACACACACACACACACACACACACACACACACACACACACACACACACACACACACGACACATTTTAGTTTTTATTTTCTCCAAAAAAACGACATTAAATAATTCTGCAGTTTCAGGGCCAAGTGTCATCAGGGCTCCAATTTGAAAAGTCAGCCTTTGTGGTACTACATAAAAAGAAACAATATTTCACATCTGTTTTATAATACATCTCCTGAAAGAAGACACACAAACCAAGTTATATTATTCAACATAAAACCTCTCGTTATTTCAAACCTATCATTTATTTTTGCCCAGTTTCTTCACACACAACACATCTTGAACAAAAACACATCCAACACTTGTGCTTTCTGTCCACACTGATTTATTTCTACTCCAAATATTGTTTTGAGATCATTTGCGTTATCTTTGAACATTGTATAAGATCAAGCTAGAGAGTGTGTCTTATTTCTGATGTATGTCTGCTTCTGATTGTGTGTGTATGTGTGTGTGCCTGAGTGCTTGAGGGTGTGCGTGCTCATGTGCGTGAGTGTGTGTGCATTTAAGGAGGGGAAAGGGGCAAGGCTGTATTATTTCTATGTAAATAGCACTGGTAATAAAACCTTCTCTTACACTGGAACTCTATTTCTTCTTAAGCATCATCACACGGCTTATCTCCTTCAAAAACGGCACTAAGGTACAACTTTTACTTTAATTTCTATTCTATGCTGCTTTATACTTTCCATCCACTTTATTTTACAGCAACATAATGGTAATACTTTCTACACCTCCACAACTAGTTACTCCTTTAAAATAATCTTTTGCACTGTAAATAAGCATTGTATTTTATTTATTTTACAGATAGATAACACTTTGAATCTGGATGTATTTATACGTTTGATCCACTTGGAGGCAGCAAAAAACCGTTTTTAAGACATTAACATATCATTGACTTTTTAAAGTGGATATGGGGAAAATATGAACAAAAAGCTGCTTATTTATGCTCCTCACCAAGCCTATGTTAAAATGCTGTCCCATTATCTGCTAAATACTCCTCTTTAGCCAGTTAGCTTCTAACTTTGTCGGGATGCCTTACAGGTACCGTACAGAGGTTTTAAAAGAGCTTTCTTTGCTCAAAACAGACACATGTTATTTCAAATAGATGATTAGAGCCAATAAAAACAGTTTAACTGCGCCCAGAAACCAAAATAAATGAGCTAATGGAGACACAGATGAGTATGTGTCTGTTCGTCAGGTGTCACCACTTTCACATCACACTCATTCATTTGATCCATTGTTTGTATAAAACATTGATTAGAGCAGCTTTAAGTTACTCTTAGTTACCGCTAAAGTTTAGCATCAGCATAAACCAAGTGGAAGTGGAATTTTTGGAATGTCTTCTTGCGTGAAGCTGACACCAGATCAGAGCCCCTCACCAGGTCCCTCTGACCCCCCTCCCCCCAACCACCTCCTCATCCCCTTATCCTCCTCTTTATCCCCTCCTCTGGCTCCACATCCCCTCCTCTCGCTGAGGGGCCAGGTGGGCAGACGCTGGCCCAGGTCTGTAGTAATTTTCCCCCTGACTGGTTTTAATGTAAAGGGTAATCTGAGAAGAGACAGGCAGACACTATGTGTGCATTATATATAAATATATATATATTCTCACACGCATACGCACACGCACACGCAGACAAACACATAGGTGGGTGTGGTCCTCAGCATCTACCAGACCATTACCAAACCGCTTCCTCTGTATTTATTTATTCTCTGTTCCCTCTGTTTACCCTCTAGAGAATTTTCCTCAATTTCGCTTTTCCCCCTTCATTTTCTTAGCTGTGTTTCTCCCACACACACACACACACACACACACACACACACACACACACACACACACACACACACACACACACACACACACACACACACNCATGACAGGATGTGTGATTACCTAGAAGAGCATCAGGACTGTTTGAGGCATATGATAGCTATGTGATTAACATGATGATTCAGCCTCTATGGAGAGAGAGTCTCTCTCCATAGAGGCTGAATCATCATGTTAATCACATAGCTATCATATGCCTCAAACAGTCCTGATGCTCTTCTAGGTAATCACACATCCTGTCATGTTGGGGTACCTTTGTTATGATGCTACTCTCATATTGGAAGAAGACATTCAGTATTTTCCCAATGCGTACTAACTGTTCTGAGTGCTGTGTGTGCAGGGTCTGAAGAACACCAACGTGACGGAGGGTGAGTCGGTGACGCTGGAGTGTCAAATTAGCGGAAACCCCGCTCCCAGCATCATGTGGTTCAGAGAGGACTACAAGATCGAGAGTAGCATCGACTTCCACATCTCCTACGAGAGTACCGTTGCTCAGCTGGTGATCCGTGAGGCCTTCGCCGAGGACAGCGGGCGCTTCACCTGCACCGCCACGAGCGAGGCGGGCACCGTCAGCACCTCCTGCTACCTGCTGGTCCAGGGTCAGCTACAGACATTATTATAATTTACTGTCACTTAAAGAATACAAATAGCCCTCAAAGTCCTCAGAAACATGTCAATACCTTTAAGACTCTTGGTGTTCCTCTTCTGTTTTTACTTTATATTTCTATATACTAATGTATTTTACTCTATGTTTCTTCCTATCTAACCCGTGGTTGTCCTGCAGTGTCCGAGGACATCGAGAGCAGAGAGGAGGTGGCTGCAGAATCTGCAGAGAAACCGTGAGTGCACCATAAACACCAGTTTATATCCTTCACAACTTTACTGAACATGTCGGTAACATTTAACAAAAAATGTAATGAGAGGCAACTTTATTTAACATGTCCCCGATGACAAAGGTTTATAACAGCACTGATCCAAAAGATTGTAGAGGGAAACTGCATATTCTCCACCGCTGTGGTATCAATGCACTGTTAGTGGTTTGACATGACATTTGTTTACTTTCCACAAAGTACAAAGACTGTGTAAAGGTGCCCTTTAAAACATTTGAAATTGGAGAGTAAGACATAAAGTGGGAAATACTGAGTCACAGTCAGTTGGAACATTGGTTTAATGATCTTTAATATTTAGATGTGGTGCAGCTTGATTACCGTTGTCTATCTCCAGAAAACACACTCTCTATTGGACTGAGCGTACAGAGTGCTACGGCAAATGCTAACAGGAGGTTTGTGTGTGCAGAGAAAGAGAAGAGGCTCCAGAGGAGACGGAGTCTCAGGTGAGCGAAGCCAACGTCCCGGACGCCGCCCCCGTCTTCTTCCGGAAACCCAGCATTCAGAAGCTGGAGGAGGGGGGCAGCGTGGTGTTCGACTGCAAGGTGGGGGGGAGCCCCAAACCTCACGTCATCTGGAAGAAGGGCGGCGTCCCGCTCACTACCGGATACAGGTGGGTCAGGAACACACCGGCTGTGAAGGCAATGTACCTCATGTCCTGGGGCTGTCAAACATATAACAAACCCAGAGCAGTGTTTACAATCCAGGGAATTCTCAACCATATCTCAGCGACATGTTGCACCATGTAATTTAATGTGAAAACCTGAATTTTGAGTTTCTAACTCAGAGCATGAAGATCGATCTTCTACTGGAACAAGGTTTTAACCCTAAAAAGGAAAGACACAGTGATGGTTTTAGATTTGATCAAACCAATGCTAAAGTGCAACAGAGGCTATATCCCCATGACTGTAAGTCTATCACAGTCTTTGCTCTTTAAAGTCTAAGCAAAGATCAATGTAGTCATTGTATCTGTAATGCACACTGCAGCCTGTAGGGGGCAGCAGCTCTCTTTGAATGATCTTTAACACACCCCTCACCCCCTTCCTCCATCAGATATAAAGTTACCTATAAGAAGGAGACCGGCGAATGTAAGCTGGAGATCTCCATGACCTTTGCCGATGACGCCGGAGAATACTCGGTGTTCGCCAAGAACCAGTTGGGAGAAGTTTCTGCCTCTGCAGACCTGCTGGAGGAAGGTAGGAAAGTCCTCTGTCAGAAACACCTGCAGCGAGGAAGAGGTTAGAGGAAAAGAAGTGCTGCAGTCTAACGCTGAATGCTTTGTTTCGACAGAGGAATACGAAGCCCTGATGAAGAAACAGGAAGCCACCTTTAAGACTGAAGTGACAGCCATGGTGCAGGAGCCCACCGCCAGGGCGACCCCCATGGAGCAGACCTCAACCATTATAACCGGACAGGTAGGAGCAGATTTATAGCATGGAGGTATAAAGAGAACTGGTCCAGTGGACTTTCTGGGGCTTGGTCTAGGACTCATAGAGCATTGGGTTTAAACAGTTACCTAAAACCCAAACCAAATTTGTAAAAAGGGTAACAGCTTGTCACACAAAGTTGAAGGAGGAAAGCATGGAGTTTTTATATTGGTTCTCAGATCAACACAGTCTCAGTGAAAGTCTCTGCATGCTGACCTGTTTAGGGTGAGGGTTAAAGACACATCTTGAAGTCCCTGCATGCTGACCTGGTTGAGGTGAGGGTTAAAGACACATCTTGAAGTCTCTGCATGCTGACCTGGTCTTAATAAACGTTGTCCCGCCTCCTCTGGTCTGCAGGACTTCCATCTGTCTGCCATCGAGCAGAGGATCATCCACGAGTACGAGCTTGTCATCATGAAGTTTACCTACAGAGAGATCGTGACGGAGGACGGAGAATTGATCGTGACCTCTGACCCCAACGAGGCCGTGCAGCCCATCTTCGACACCCCCGTCAAAAACTACAGGATCTTGGAGGGTATGGGGGTCACCTTCCACTGCAAGAGCAGCGGGATGCCCCTCCCCAAGGTACTGCTCTTTATGTTGAATATGAACAAATGATGGGTTTTTTCTTAGGGTTAGGCTTCTCAGAATTTCAGAATTTGACCTTTTTTTCAGAATTCCTTTTTTTTCTCAGAAATTTTTTGTTCCCTCAGAATTCCTTTTTTCTTTAAATTATGAAATGTTCTCAACATTTCAGAATTTTACTTTTTTCTCCGATTTGGACAGAAATCATAAAGTGGTGTTAATTTGTGGGGATTATCCTGCTGAACTAAACGTGAAAGCATCATAAACATCTGTTTGACACAGAGATTATTTTCTGCCATAATCCAAAATCACACGGAGGAATCCCATTGGACCAGAGTGATGATGCCTTCAGGAACACAGAAACACCTGCAGCTCTGTATGACTGTTTGTCTTCCACAGATTGCCTGGTTCAAAGACGGCCAGCGCATCAGATCAGGTGACCGATACCAGATGGAGGTTCTCCAGGACGGACGAGCCAGCCTACGCCTCCCTGTGGTGCAGCCGGAGGACGAGGGCGTCTACACCGCCTTCGCCAGCAACATCAAGGGGAACTCCGTCAGCTCCGGGAAGCTCTACGTCGAGTCCGGAGCTGGAGCTCCTCAAAGATACACACCACAACCTGCCATGCAAAGAATCAGGTAAGGGCTCTTTTCAAGAAACAGAGAAACTGGAACTCCTGACGTTGCGCCTTTTGCTAACATTAGCTAACTTAAGATGTGACTGCTAAAATATTTGAGGGGAAAATGTATTCCAATGACACTGACCCCACAACACATTATGGTTTGGCTATTAATGAAGGTCCGGGTTAAAAACTGTAAATAATTTATGTTGTAATTGTACGGTTGGAATAAAATCAAAGCAGTATGACTGTCCTTATAATGCTTTCTGTGCTAGTTCAGCCATTTAAAACCGTAGCTGTACTGTACACTGTGTGTGTCAGATGATCTTAGTGGTTTTCTTCTGTAGCATAGACCCGTACACCTGTAGACCAGTACACCTGTAGACTTCATGGCCTCCTCTCCCCTCTCAGATCCTCGTCTCCTCGCTCTATGAGTCGGTCTCCTGGACGTTCCTCCAGCCGTTCTCCCGGACGCTCTCCGGCCCGCCGGCTGGACGAGACGGACGAGGCTCAGCTGGAGAGACTCTACAAACCCGTGTTCGTCATGAAGCCCGCCTCATGTAAATGCTCTGAGGGCCAGACGGCACGCTTCGACCTGAAGGTGGTCGGCAGACCGATGCCCGAAACATACTGGTTCCACAACGGTGAGTCTCAGTACAGATCAGTCCACAGGGTCTTCTAAAATAAATGTTGGGAGTTCATGTTGTTACGAAACCCATGTAGTCTGCAAATGTCTGGACTGAAAACAAACACCCAATGGGCGATTGGTTTAGAGCAACAGGCTTTAAGATTTGTTGGTCTGACAATAACATGTGTGTCTCGTGACCTCCTCAGGACAACAAGTGGTTAGCGACTACACTCACAAGATCGTGGTTAAAGAGGACGGGACCCAGTCCCTGATCATCGTCCCTGCCATGCCTCACGACTCTGGAGAGTGGACCGTGGTGGCACAGAACCGGGCCGGACGCTCCAACATCTCCGTCACGCTCACCGTGGACGGTAAGACTGCAGAACTGTGTTAAAGACGACACTGAGGCATTTATTTGCCATCAGCCGGCTCTGTTACTGACTGTCACTGAGGTTTTTTATATTTGTTTTCCAGCCAAAGAGACGCTGTTGCGACCCCAGTTCACAGAGAAGCTGAAGAACCTGAGTGTGAAGCAGGGCACTCTGGTGGAGCTGGCTGTCAGAGCCATCGGAAACCCGCTGCCCGACATCGTCTGGCTGAAGAACAGCGACATCATCTCCCCACACAAGCACCCCAACATCAGGTAGCTCTCAGAGCCGACGTCATATATTTGATATAATTGCATAAACTGGAAAACAATCAGAAGCTTTTTCTATAATAGATAAATCCTGTTATTTGTATGCACAAATGTGAGAAAAACTGTTTTTCTCACACGACTGATCCATCTTGCAGGGTGGAGGGAACCAAAGGAGAGGCCAAGTTTCAGATCCCGTCGGCCGCCGGTGCAGACAGCGCCTGGTACACGGCCACAGCCATCAACAAGGCTGGCAGAGACACCACCCGCTGCAGGGTCAACGTGGAGGTGGACCAAGTGGAGCCCGAACCAGAGAGGAAGCTTGTTATTCCCAAAGGAACCTACAAAGCTAAGGATATCGCAGCGCCGGAACTGGAGCCCCTGCACCAGCGTTACGGCCAGGACCAGTGGGAGGAGGGTGACCTGTACGACAAAGAGAAGCAGCAGAAGCCTCAGTTCAAGAAGAAGCTGACCTCCATCAGGATGAAGCGCTTTGGCCCGGCTCACTTCGAGTGCCGGCTGACGCCCATCGGAGACCCCACCATGGTGGTGGAGTGGCTGCATGACGGGAAACCCCTGGAGGCGGCCAACAGGCTGCGCATGGTCAACGAGTTCGGATACTGCAGTCTGGACTACGAAGCGGCGTACGCCAGAGACAGCGGCGTCGTCACCTGCAGAGCCACAAACAAGTACGGGGCGGACCAGACGTCCGCCACGCTGGTGGTGAAGGACGAGAAAGGCCTGGTGGAGGAGACTCAGCTCCCTGAAGGCAGGAAGGGGGCTCATCGGATGGACGAGATGGAGCGCATGGCTCACGAGGGCGGACCTACAGGTGTCACCACTGATGACGAGTTTGAGAAGATCAAACCTGAGATCGTGCTTCTTCCTGAACCCGCCAGCCTAAAGGAGGGCGACACGGCTCGCTTCCGCTGCAGAGTCACCGGCTACCCAACTCCCAAGGTCAACTGGTACCTCAACGGGCAACTCATACGCAAAAGCAAAAGATACAGACTCCGGTACGACGGTATTTACTTCCTGGAGATCACAGAAATCAAATCCTATGACTCAGGAGAGGTGAAGGTGACGGCGGAGAACAACCTGGGCGTGGTCGGACACACGGTGAAGCTGGAGATCGTGGAGAAAGAGGACAACAGGACTCAACTGCGTCGCACCGAGGTGAAACCCGCCGCTGCCCCTGCCGAACTTGGAAAAGCTACATTCGAGGTTGTTAAGGCTGAGAAACCCTCCGAGGACTCCGCGCTGAAGGAGGTGGTGAAGTTGAAGAAGGCCCAGAGGAATGTGCACGCTAAATCCACGGAGGAGTCCGATGAGCTGCGCGGGAAGTTCAAGCGCCGTACGGAGGAAGGCTACTACGAGTCCATCACCGCCGTGGAGCTCAAGTCCCGCAAGAAGGATGAGTCCTACGAGGATCTGCTGAAGAAGACAAAGGAGGATCTGTTGCATCGCGCCAAGGCACAGGAGGAGGCGGCGAAGAAGAAAGCGGAGGAGGAACGTAAAGTGACCGCAAAGCCTCTGAAACCAGAGCGTGTGAAGCTGTCCGCCAGCATGGAGGCCCCCAGGATCCTGGAGCGCATCACCAGCCAGACAGTTTCTCTGGGAGACGAAGTGAAGTTCAGGGTCCGGGTGGTGGGCAGACCAGAGCCTGAGTGCCAGTGGTTCAAGAACGGCGTTCAGCTGGAGAAGACGGAGCGAGTGAACTGGTACTGGCCCGAGGACCAGGTCTGCGAGCTGGTCATCAGAGACGTACAGCCCGAGGATTCAGCCAGCATCATGGTGAAGGCCAGCAGCCGCGCCGGAGAGACGTCCAGCCACGCCTTCCTACTGGTGCAAGGTAACGCCACCGTTTACAAGAAGTTCATATCTGTAGGTCAGGAGCATCTGGCCAAACTCTTTATCAGTTAATGTTTCTCCTACATGTGCATTTCATTAAACTTTGTGCATTTTTGTCATTCTGCAGCCAAGCAGGTGATCAAGTTCACCCAGCCGCTGGAGGAGGTCCAGGCCAAAGAGAAGGATACCATGGCCACCTTCGAGTGTGAGACCAACGAGCCCTTCGTCAAAGTCAAATGGCTGAAGAACAACCAGCAGATCTTCACCGGAGACAAGTACAGGATGCACGCCGACAGAAAGGTCCACTTCCTGTCTGTGCTGGTGATCAGCATGAAGGACAACGCCGAGTTCTCCTGCATGATGATTGACGACGAAGACGTGAAGACCACCGCAAAGCTCACCGTAGAAGGTGGGTCAGCTGAAAGATAACCAGTCATTGCTCTAAAGAGAGGTTTCTCTTTGTGTATTTAACAGGAAGTTTCCCCCTGTATGTAAACAGGTGCTCCACTGGAGATGGTGAAGCAGCTGGAGAGCACCGAGGTCCCAGAGACATACTCGGCAGAGTTTGAGTGCGTGGTTTCCCGTGAGGACACTGAAGGCAGCTGGTTCTTCGGAGAGAAGGAGATCTCCGCCAGCAGCAAATACGTCATTTCCTCCCGCAGAGGCAGACACAGCCTCTCCGTTAAAGACGTGAAGAAGGAGGACCAAGGCAAATACTCCTTCAAAACCGGAGAGTTCAAGACCAGCGCCTCCCTGAAAATGAAACGTGAGTTGTGGAAGTCTGGCTCAGTTTCGTGACTTTTCTTCTAGGATGGCCTGACAGTGCTCCAGAAACAAGTCACAAGGTGCATCATACTCCAGAGCTGTCAAATAAAACTCTTCTTTACTAGGGTCCGAGCTCGATCAGTGTCCCTGGATCCCACAATATAGGACTTTTTGTTATTTTTCAAAAGTTATTTACAAAAGTTTTCATATATTCTGGTGTATTCTTTTTACAATATTTTTGAGAGCCTTAAGGATTTGAGTATTTCTCAGTTTCCTAGAGTAACTCCTATGTCTTGTTTAGTGCGCTGACCTGCATGTAAAGTCGTTTATTTATCTGTTTTAAATAATTATTATAATGTCTGTTTCTCCCCTTGCAGTTCGCCCGATCACCTTGATGAAGCCGCTCAGCGACCTGACGGTGTGTGAGGGCGACATCGCTCAGCTGGAGGTCCGTTTCTCCCAGGAGAACGTGGAGGGCAGCTGGATGAAGGACGGGAAGTCGGTCACGGCGTCCGACCGCGTCCACGTGGTCGTCGACAAACAGATCCACAAGCTGCTGATCGAAGACACCAGCAAGGTTGATCATGGGATGTATTCCTTCGTGGTCCCTGATCACGCCATCTCCACCAGCGCCAAGGTCGTCATCCAGAGTAAGACGCCAACGAAACAATTATCTTATTTCCTGTATAGTGATGTATTTCCTGTACAGTGATACTGAAGTATTTCCTGTGTATTTCAGCGATCGGCGTGTTGACCCCTCTGAAGGACACGAGTGCAGTTGAAGGCACAAAGGCGGTGCTGGAGACAAAGATCTCAGCGCAGGACGTTCTCTCTGTGAAGTGGTTCCTGAACGGGAAGCTGCTGACGGCCAGCGATCGGGTGCAGATGGTGGCGAAGGGATCCAAGCAGAGGCTCGTCTTCAACCGGACCTTCGCCTCGGACCAGGGCCAGTACAAGCTGCTGGTGGGCCGGGCCGAGACCAGCTGCCAGTTCACCGTCCAGAGTGAGTTTACTGATGTCTTCATGTCAGGGAGAGAGAAAGAGAAAGAGATTGGAGATATCAAAGAGAACCTCCAGAATCCACATCCAGGAGTTTATTAGACTAACTTTGCGTGTTTGTGTACATTTCTTCTAAATTCACCAAAAGTTTGCATCTAATGCTAACGTTTAGCAGCTAATGCTAACTGTTTTAGCAGCTAATGCTTACTGTTTTAGCAGCTAATGCTAACCATTTTAGCAGCTAATGCTTACTGTTTTAGCAGCTATTTCTAATTGTTTTAGCAGCTATTGCTAACTGTTTTAGCATCTAATGCTAACTATTTTAGCATCTAATGCTCACTTTTGCCAACACTTTGGAAGTTAGGGATATGTAAAAAAATACTTTGAATTCAAATGTCTTGAATCAATCCTTAAATAAGTGTTAAAAATAGTAAGACATTGAGATAGAAATGTTTAATATAATAATACAAATAGTATAACCAGTTCCTGCAGCTGATTAAATAATATATATACGTATATGCGTCTTTGAGCATTAGTAAAAGCGCTATAAAAATCCAATGTATTATTATTACTGTATAAGATATATATTAAAGATCCCCTGTCCCCCACCAGCCGTGCAGATCCTGAAGCCGATCAAAGACCAGGAGTGCTCAGAGTCGGAGAACGTGGTTTTCGACGCAGAAGTTTCTCACGCCGGCATCGACGCCTTCTGGACCTTCAAGAGGCAGCCTCTGAAGGCCGGGCCGAAACACAAGATGGAGTCCAAGAACAAGCGTCACACGCTGACCGTCATGAACTCCATGAAGGACGAGGAGGGCGAGTACATGTTCGCCGCCGGGGAGAAGATGTGCACCGCCATGCTCACCGTCTCCGGTAACTACATCTCTTTCTAAACATTCTAAACTGTTTTCTTCAAATTTCTGTTGAATCCTGATTTTCAAATCTGTGTCTTTGTTTATTAAATCAACTTTCTTTAATGAGTATATCATTGTTTTTTGAGCGCAGTGGTGATGTATTTGATGCTGAACGTAAGCAAGTAGGTATTGCAGCAGATGTGATATAATTGATATTACATTACATGTCATTTGTTAGACGCTCTTATCCAAAGCGACTTACATACATTCAGTACTGTGGACAATCCCCACAGGAGCAGTTTGGGGTTCTCAATTGTGATCTGGTATCAGCTAATGTTGACTCTCTGACGTCACAAAACTCTGCATTTATTGGAGAAACACTTTTACAGCAACCATTCAAATATCATTATAATAATAAAATCATAATTACTTAATCAGCTTCCAGAGAACATGCAGACCTCTACATCACTCTGTTTTTAAAAAAAAAGCCTCAAAATAAATTTTACTGGCTGTCCTTTATTTTATTCTAACCTTTATGCTCTTAACCTTTTTTATATTACCATATTTCATTCAATATGCTCCTTAGATAAAATTTTATTTTATTGTATTTTCTCCTCCTAGCATTGTGAAGCACCTTGAGATGACGTTTTTAAAGTGTACTCTAGAAATGAAATGTATTACTTACAGCAGTGGTCACCAACCTTTTTAAGCCCAAGATCACCGACCTCGGCCTATGTGAAAGGCGAGATCTACCTATTGCAGAATTGGGTGAAAAAGACGGCCCAGACAATGCTTCCAATTTGAGGCCTTTTATATCTGGCTCATCTGAATTACTGTTACAATGAAGGCTCCATAATCAGCTCATGGCATATAGGCAGGGGTAAAGTGCTATTGGGGGGCGGGACCTCACCTCCTCTAGGGGGGTTCCTCACCTCCT